CCGGAACCAGTGGCTGGGTGATGTTCCAATGTAGGAGTGTAGAGCTTGTCTTTCCACTTCCATGTAGAGATTTGCCACTATGGGAGACCCAGGAGAGCCCATAGCTCAGCCATGCTTGTGTCTGTAGAAGGACTCGTTGAACTGGAAGTAAGTGGTGGTGAGGCAGAAATCTACAAGGGCACAAATGTGGTCAATGGTCAGGTTAGTTCTTAACGGCAGGGTGTGATCTTGTAGTAAGCGCATCCTCACTGTTGCTACTGTCTGTGGTGAGGATGCATGTAAAAAGCGATGTTGAACTTAACTTGTTGGTGAAGTCCTGTGAGTTGGCTTTGTGGTGAGGTGTGTCTCCAATGAGTGGTGAAAGGATGGAGGCCAGTTGTTTGGCGATGTCTTAAGTGTCGTAATTGATGCTGCTGATGATGGGTCTGAGTGGAGCTCCTTCCTTGTGGATTTTGGGGAGACCATGAATACGGGGAATGGCTTCTTCTTGCTACAGGGGTCTGTCGATATCTCTATCCATTTATATCCTTTCATTAAAATTGTTTCTTTTTTTTATGGTTTTAATCGAAATACAGCACTTTGAAAAAGAATTTCCAAAAAACATTTTCATAGAAAAAAAAAAGTTGTTTTGGAAATGTTCTACAAAAAAAACCCATTTGGTCACATGTTGAAAAATTGAGGAAAATGTTTGAAAAAACATTAAAAAGAAATTTTTCTTCATCGGAATACAGCGTTTTGAAAAAGAAATTCTTGAAAAACTTTTTCTTGAAAAACTTCTCAAAAATATATATTTTTTCTCTATAAAGGAATTTCTGAATTTTGAATCTTTAGAGAGCCGATACTATTGATTCCCAAATGGCTCTTAAATATTTTTATATATAGTTCATTAATTTGACCTTGTAGGGTATTTGGAACATGGGCTATAAAAATTAGCCAATTTAACTGTTATCAACACAGACCCAAAAAAGCCAGAGGTGAAATGTGTTGATTTTTATTCAAAAGTTACTGTCTCCAGACAAGTACAAATCAGAAAACAGGGTGACTGGAATAAGATGGGATAATAGACAACAACTTAAAGAGTAGGGAAGCATGAAAAAAAAACACGTAAATGGCCAAAAAGAAGGAAAGAAATTATTTTTTGTATATATACACATGATCTAATAAGAATTTATACCAATGTAGTGGTAAGTAACAAACAATAAACAGTACTTTTTCCTTAAAAGAATTCCTCTTTTACTTACATAAAATAATTAGGCAAAACACTTATTTAGCTCGTCTACTTTATTACATTACATCCGACCAGCTCTTTGTCATGATCTAAGAAGCCAATTGTCCACCTTTAAACAATGCTGATGCTCAGACATGGAAGATTACTGTGAGAGAAGGCCAACTTCACCAGCATGTTTAAGGCTCAAGCATGGAATGACTACAAAATAAAAACCTCAGTAGACAAAACATTTCATTTAAATGTGACAAATGTCAAAATCTAAGCTTTGTCTAGCTGCCACAGCGCTGCTGAGTCAAATCTCATCTTCAGTAATGTCTGAACCACTAACTTACACACATTTTGTGACAGGACTTTTTATGGTGAGAAAATCTTAAAGCTGAATTTCACAAGTCTTTATTAGTTTTATCCAAACTAACTTTCATGTACGAAAAAAAAGTAGAAACCCCCGAGACATTATCAAGACAAAAAAGGAGATGGGGGAGGAGGGGGTAAAATATACATTTTAAAATTTAGTCGATGCATGGTTTTACATGCTTACATTTTGGGTTTTACTTACATGTTTCTCAAATGATGGGACTGAATGTTTAAAATTTAAAAACCAAGAGCACAAATATAAAATCAGCACCGATTCATATACAACTTTCATTTTAAAAAAATGTTGACTTACCCATGTTAACATGGGCTGCTGGATGAGAGGAAAAGAAATTGCAATTTCATTCATCCAGAGCCCACATGATGGCGCTACTGCAGTCAACATCTGCACATTATGGGCACGTCTCCTTAATGGACGGTGGTTTAAAAGAGGGAGTGGCCTTAATATTGAGATGAGCTCTACAACCCAGTGTGGAGTGGTCCTGGCCTGTGGGAGAAGCAACTCCCGAGTCTGTGACAATTCCCTATTTTGACCACCAGTGGTTTACGGGACAGATCTGACAAATTTTAAAAGATCGAGGTCGGGGGGAAAAAGAGCACAGAAACATAAAGACCTCCATCCACGTTGGCTAACACAGTACAAGCAGGCTACTACAGTCTGTATATAAATTACTACTTCACACCTGGTAACTTACTACAGTTGTAAAAAGGGTTAGACATGAACAAAAAATGTTTCTTAAGTTAAACACACCAATGCATCCCCAATTTAAAAAAAATGAAAGAGGGGGTTAAAAACAACAAAAAGAAAAGGAGAATATAGATTTTCTTCAGACACATCTCTTTTCTAATATTTTTGGAAGTGGGCTGTTTCACTATTTCTGAACAGGAAGAGCTGACCCAGGATTATAAAAGTAAATATTTGAAACACAGTCTTCTCTGAGCAAGCAACACTGAGTGTGGGTCATCGTTGGTCCATGTGGAGTACAAGCCTGATTTTTTTTTCTGATTTTTGCTTTTTCTTAGAGAAAAGGCTCCGGTTTTTACGTCTAAAATCCTCTTCAGATACAAAGCGCGTATTCTGGTTTTTCATCACAAAATCATCCTGACACTAGCTTAAAACATAGACACTCCAAGGACCTGGATGGGGGAAAAATGAGACAGTATAATAAAAATTAAAATTCTCACTGATAGAAACACCTAGTTAACACATGTGGCATGTGGTTTCTGGTCAATGACATTCCAAGATAAAACATATTTATGGCATTTTAGCACAAATAAAATATTTTAGGGTATTCTTGTAAATTTCAAAGTGTCTTTGACCACTTCTGTTTTGTTGTAAAGTTATAATATACTATATTGTTTTTTGATCAGTCATAGTTGAGTTAGAGTGTTCCTTACCGATTCATCCATGATAGACGCAGGGTCAAAGTAGTCTGGCTTAAGTTCAGATCTCTCACGACGGTTCTTGGAAGGTGGCTGAAAGAAAAAGACAAAGCAGAAACTTTAATTCTTGCATGAAGAATGGCATTGGCATTCTTTTAAAAAGCATTTTTTCCCGTGTTAAAAGTGTGTGTTGATTTCTTTTGAGAAAACAATTTAAAATCAAGAGTTTTAAAAAAAATACATATATATCAATTACAATTTCTAAGAAAAACACTCCTCTGTGACTGTGTGAAACGTGGCAGAAAATAGATCTAATCTGACAGTGGGGGAAGAGGGAGTGAGGTCAGACTTTAACATGATGTTAAAGGTGAGAAGAAAAGTCTGTTTTTCTACAGAAAATGTATTCCATAAGAGTAAAGTAAATTAGTTTGGTTTTCTTAGTTTACAATTGAAACTCACCAAATCAATGTCCATGGTATCAAAGTCCATGCCTTCATTGAGGTCATCCATACGACCCTCCGATGACATCATAACATCCTCTACGATTGGCTCTTCGTCCTCCTCCATGAGCCCAGTACCTCGACGGCTGCAAAGACAAATGTGATGAGAAGTTGTCACAAAATTCTACTGTGTGTGTGTGTGTGTGTCTTACATGGCGTGCTGCAAATTGTTTCTGAGTTTGGCGTAGTTCATGGCTCTCTCCTGCTGCTGGCGTGCCTCTTCCTGTTGTCTCTGAGCCAACATCCACGTCACCTGGGAACTAAATATACAAGAATAAAATTAATCATCTCTTTGTTGAGCAACATAACCTATTATGATCAACAAGTATTCAAATTTCAAAATCTCAAAAATGAATAAAAATGCACTCA